ATATTCATCAGTGGACTTTTACAGCCTGCAAAGGATTATTGGGTGAATGGATTAATACTAATATTTTTACTATAAATTTAATTTTATATGTATTAATTTTGACCTTGATTGGATAATTTATAATTTCCATACATCCAGTCTACATTAAGTACTGCACTTACAAAAACAATTGAGAATAGCTTAGAGAGTAATAATTACGGCTTAATAATTTTATATGTATTAATTTTGACCTTGATTGGATAATTTATAATTTCCATACATCCAGTCTACATTAAGTACTGCACTTACAAAAACAATTGAGAATAGCTTAGAGAGTAATAATTAAGGCTTAACAACGTTGATTTCTAAGTTTAAAGTTTATAAAGGTACCAAATGTGCTCTAATTACCATTCCTATCCTGCACCCACACTAACAAAATACATACGAATATATTCTACAAAATGCTGTCTTTTGTAAAATATTAATTTAACATGTATTTAACATGATTGCTCGTCTTTTGTCTACCACTTCTACGAAGGCAATTAAATATGTATTTAAATAAACAATTTTATTTAATAAAAAGGGAATTATCGTCATTGCCATCGTCGTCAAGATCGTCATCGTTATCGTCATCATCATTGTCATCGTCATCGTATCGTCATAATCTTCGACATAGTCGTCGTGAGCATCATCGACATCATCATCGCCTTCATCATTGTCAACATGATCTCAATCATCATAATCATCATCGTCGCCATTGTTATCATTGTCATCGTCATCGTCAATATGACCATCATTATCGTCATCATCGTCATGGTCATTGTCACTTCATCAACATAATCGTCATTGTTATTTAATTAACAACATTGTCATATTCATTACCATCATCGCTACCGCTGAATAACCCTTCACAATACCTATTCCACTGCTGCAACACATATGATGTTAAAATATTTGTTCTGATCGTGAAATTGGGGAACGCCTTACTAAAGAAGGAGTGATATCTCTCGATAAGGGATGTTTGCTAAAAGGTCAAGTTTTCCTACCAAATTTACGTCCATCAAATTGAGATGAATAAGGACTTAATTTAAAAAAAAAATACCCATTGAATAATATCGTCAAAATAGGCAGAACTTTAGTAAATTTTGGACAAAAAGACACCAACTCATCAGATTTAAACAGTTCCTCACATAAATTAGACCGTCAAATAAAAGATCTAAAAAGAATAACGTGCAATTAACAACATTATCGTCGCACGACATCCGTCACTATGCAATCAACTACGTGTTAATCGGAGTGGCAGCAGTCTTGGCGGCGGTGTTCATGTGGAGATGGCGACGGCAACAGCGGTGGCGTGGACTCACCTCCCCAGACTGGGAGCTGCAGTCGGTAAGTATTGTTAGTGCAGTGAATGCGGTAAATCAAAGAAAGGCTAACCGTAAGCCGTTTTCACAGAAAGCGCTAGTGCGCGAAATTGTGATGTTGACCGTCAACATATGGGCAATATAAGTGATGTGTCGTGTGAAATTGAAAAAGAAAACAAAACGTGTTCTACCATACCGTAAAGACGCTTTAATATTTAATTATAAAAGTAATTGTTTAATAATAAATTAGATACTCTAATTATTTTCATCTTACAAATAACAATCATTCCTTAGGTTAAATAATTAAGTTACAAATTGGTTATCACCATGTTACTTAGATGAGATCAACTAACACGTCACTTAACTTACATTATAATCATCTGTTCACATTTTTGCATGTACGGTCTAACCGAACATTTATATTTCTGCTGGCTTCATCATTTTACGCAACGAAATCTCTATAGTTTGACAATTACAAAAATTGAGTTAGTTCACGTTTTCACCGTAACCGCGACGGACGCGAACTCATTAACATAACATTTTACATTATAACACTTAGCATTAATCAACATATTTTAATCTAATATTTTTACTTGTTTATTAAACTGTTTTAACATAAAATTTATATTAATATTAAACATTCGTCCAGTACTTGAACATTGATAACAACTCAAAATATTAAAAAATACAGTTGGCAATTCACCTGCTAAGCGTGACGACCGTGGCAAATAACCCTCACTTATAAAGTACTAAAAAAAAAAAAAAATAAAAAAAAAAAGGGGCTTGTGTTCAGCAGTGGACTTTTGATGGGCTGTAATAAATTCATTACGCTATGTGTTTCTGTGAGTAAGAGGCGATTTTGTAAAATGTTAGAAAAATTTCATAGCATTTTATAGATAGTGGTATAACCATCTAGTTTCCACCAGACGCAAAACACCGAAACCGGTGATGGAAGCAGCGTCTTGGGTGCGAAACGTTAATTACTGGTGATTAAGTCAAATCCTCCTTAAAATGGGAGAGGCTTATGCTCAGTAGTGGACTTTTACGGGCTCTTGATGATGAAACGAGCTATAGTCCGTCAAAAGGTGATCAACTACAGCCACTGAACTCCTAAAACCAGTTTTAAGCAAAAGGCGTTATAGAGGCATTGTCCCCGGTCAGAACCAAAGTAAAATGATGTATCACAACTTGCAATTATACTCTATCTGATTAATAAAAATGGTACCAGCATAAGAAGAAGAAAATAAGAATTTTACTGCCCTGTAAAGTGTACTCGTATAATATGTGTGTACATATACCACGAATAAATTTTAAATATGCTCGTTATACCCAGAAGAAACCGTAATTTCTAAACATTACAAATAGTATAAAAATTATATTAAATGAATCTTACTTTTAAATAATATAATGTTGGAGTATAAAAAAAAAACTTAAACATCACGCACTGATCATGAGTTGTGATTATTACGGCAAGAATAATGGTCATAATCATGAAAGTATTGTATTGTCGTCGGTTCCTAAAACATCTGCATTTTTTTAAATTCAGATGTCTGGAAGTAGTTGAAAATAGAACTATATAATTCCGTTTTATTCATACATACACACAGATCGCAAATAAAGCATGTAAAAATAAGAATATCCCTTTATACTTAATCATGCATGAGTGCATTAATATGGCGTCAATGAAGCCTAAAAGAACTCTTTATTACTCTATGTTGGCGGAGCAAAAATAAATGATGCGAAAAGGATTACGGTATGCCTTACCGTTGATGTAAAATTCGTAGTTTCATGATATAACTATAACGGATTGTAAAAAAATATTCTAGATATTTAACTACTGTCTAATAACTTTACCTAACGGTCCCACAATCGAATAACTGAAATTGTTAACCACATCAAGGGAACAAACTTTTTACCATAATCGTATAATTTTGATAAAGAACGTTTAAACATAATGCTTTTCGTATTTGTTGCGCATTTGATACCTTTATTAGAGACAATTTTCTATGCATTTTGATGTTTGAAAGATTAAGGTATTTTTCATCCAAAATATTACGACATGTAAATACCACACTGGTTCTGTAGTGTCTAAACGTTTAGTTGAGGTATTGCAGGGCCGTCGGATCGAATTCGACATGCTTGTGCTTCTTTGATGGGACAGAAATTCCTATTGTGATGTTATATTTCTTAAAACCGAACTGTAAATAGACAGTCGATTTGTTTTTGAAGTGTTGTTCACACCGCTTGCAACTTTACAAGTCGCAGGTTCGGCCCCACATGGAATACCGTTCCCATCTCTGGCCAGGGGCTTCCTAGTGCCAGCTACTTTCACATGACCGCAACCAGCGCAGAGCGGTTCGAATCGTCGACGATCGAGTTCTTTCTGATCGGCTTGACTCACTGGCACTATTAACATCACATATTGCATCTCTTTGCGTATTTCGAGATTTTGGAGAGTGCTCTTAGGAATTGTTCGGACTAATTCCAGCCGCTCAATTTCAACATCGCACATCGCGAAAAACTCGCAATACCATCCGTACCGTCTGGATGATTGGCGGTCCACCACTGTGCAATTTAGAAGAAGATTTCTTCCTCGCATAACTTCCTTGAGGAATCGATTACCTCCAGCGATTTTTCTGGACAAATACGACTTAGGGACCTTCTAGAAAAGAGCCTACTCCTTTTTAAAAGGTCGGCAACGCATCTGCAATTCCCCTGGTGTTGCAGTTGTTCATGGGCGGCGATAGTTACTTACCATCAGATGAGCCGCATGCTCATTTGTCCCCCTGTCCTATAAAAAACATCCTCGATGAAAAGTTTTTTTTAATTAAATTAAGTTGAGAAAGGGGTTATGCTAATGTTTTTCTACGCTTCACTAAGAAATAGTTAAATTTGTTGTTTTTTGAATTGTTCAATGAATAATTTTATTCCATTGTTATAATTAAGTAATTACTTGTTTTTCTTTAATCAGCAATGCGACGTGTCCATTCATACATAAAAGCGAAAATACTGCAACCATGTCCGTTAACATAATCCTAAATCTAGTTTTAATCAACGTTTTACAAATTTAAATATATCAAAAATATAAAAAGTTTATAAAGTTAAGGTTTCCGTTGTACAATTTCGTTTATTAGCCATTTTAACTTATTTGCAGAGGTTGATTTTAGATAAAAGTTCTTGACAGGATAAATACGACATTAGCAAATTATATCCATTCAGGTCCCATTTATATCCAGCCAGGTTATAATTTATTTGATGGCTGACTTTTATCTGACGATTGAAAAACCAGCTACTTTTTCACTTTTATGAACCTCTGTAAATCTACTGAAATGTAATCATTGTACAAAAGCAATATTATGCATACATACATAGATGATATAATATAGATCATATGTGACTACCTACAAATATCGATTTTTATCTGCGAATTAGTACCTTTTAAACTAAGTAATATTTTTAAGCAACTTCAAAATTATTTTTACTCATGGTTATTTTTTAAAGATATTGTATGTACTGAACTGAAATTTTGAGGTAAATATTAGGAGCTTACATATGAAATTGGCGTTTTGTACGGGAGGAATATAAATTAATTTTTTTTGTAAAATATATTTAATTAATCAAAGTATGCACCGTTCTTATCTTTGCACTTTTGCCTTCTCATAGGTAGTTAATTGATTCATTTAATAAAAAAACCATGGTGACGAGAATCAATAAACTCTTTGAAGGCTGTTTGGACTGCCGCATCGGAGTTGAATTATTTTCCTTGTAAGAATTGTCCAAAATCCGGAAAAAATGGTAATCTGTTGGAGAAAGGTCCGAAGAATACGGTGGATATCGCAGACATTCCAATTGTAGCTCATCTAACTTAGTGGTTGTTTGTTGTGCAGTGTGTGGTCTTGCGTTGTCGTCAAGCAGCAGTGGCCTAGAGTGATTGACCAATATCGGTTGTTTAGCAGCTAGGTCTTCCGTCATGGTTTCCAGTTGCTGACAATAGAAATCTGCCATAATCGTTTGGCCAGATTTTAGAAAGCTATAGTGAACGAGACCGGCACTAGTCCAGCGAACACTCACAAGTAACTTATTCTGGGTCAATTTTCGTTTAGAGCAGGGTTTGGCTGGGTCTACAGGGTTCAGCCATTGCGACGAGCGCTTTCGATTATCTTACAGTCATCATCATCAACATTACAGCCCTTCACAAGTCCACTGCTGAACATAGGCCTCCCCCAAAGAATGCCACAAAGCGCGGTCCTGAGCTACTTGCATTCATCGACTTCCTGCATATCTTACCAGGTCGTCACTCCATCTAGTGGGGGGACGCCCTACACTTCGCCTGCCGGTACGAGGCTGCCACTCGAGAAACTTTCTTCCCCATCGGTTGTCGGTTCTTCGAGCTATATGGCCGGCCCATTGCCACTTCAGCTTACTAATCCGTTGGGCTATGTCAGTCACTCTGGTTCTACTGCGGATATCCTCATTTCTGAGTTTATCACGCAGAGAAACTCCGAGCATAGCCCTCTCCATAGCTCGCTGAGCGACCTTGAGCTTCCTCGGCCAGCAGTGAAGGACCACGTCTCAGTTCCGTATGTCATCACTGGCAACACGCACTGGGTGTACAGTCTCGTTTTCAAGTTTTGAGGTATACCTGACGAGATGTGGCGGCGCTGACGTCGCGCCACAAACGAAACACATCGAAGCCTAAATCGCGTTATCAAAGTTCCGAAATTAAAGCAGCATATATAGAATAGCTCCGAACTACCAATCGGAGCGCTGGCCGCTCCCCGGGCAGAACACCTTGCCCGGCGGGAGATCTCCCCTTTTCCTTCCACCCGCTACAGTGGTGACCCCGACGTGATATGAACACGCAACCAACAACCTTCAGAAACTACACCTTCAAACCTTCATCATCCTTAAGTACCCCATTCACACAGTCCACCTGATGGTAAGTGGCTGCTGTGGCTCATAGACATCTACATCTATCCTCTATTACAAATCAATATGTAGATGCGTTGTCACCCGTGAGGACTAAGATGGAATGCCTCATTTCCAGTAAAGAGGGCCTCCAGCCACCTGCACTCACCAAGCGAAACGCAGAGGTAAACCTCTACTTCACGCTGGTTTTCTGTGAGGTCGTGGTACCACCCCGGTTCGAGCCGGCCCATCCGTGCGACAGCAAAAGCTGCCGCGTGGCTCTACCACTGTTAAAAAAGTGTGGGGCTAACGTTTTTTAAAAAGAAAATAAATGGTAACCAACGGGACCCTATTACTAAGCCTTCGTCCGTCCGTCCATCCATCTGTGTGTCTGTCAGCGGGCTGCATCTTATGAGCCGTAAGAGATAGACAGTAGAATTTTTGCAGAATGTATATTGTTGCCGCTATAAAAACAAATATTAAAAATAAAAAATAAATTAAAACTTAAAAGGGCTAAAATTATTAGAAACGTTTTTTTTTGCATACACAGTATTAAATCACTTGGCCGGTTTTGTACTGGAAACGAGACATTGTATCTTAGTTCTCTCTGTAGATATGTCGGCATCCTCTTACTATCAGGTGGACTGTGTGCTTGTTTTTCACTGTTATTCTATAAAATAATCTGAAATAATACGTTTGAAATTTGTCATATCTAATTTAAATATTGGATAAAAGTTAGAAATTTTAAATCGTTTTGTCAAAGTGACTGACTTTATCTAAATGCGGGTGCTGAGAGCGGATTTCAAATTGGTTGTTACTGAAGTGACAAGATAATAATTATCTTGTCATTTATACAAGTGAAATCGCCTTAAAGTAAAATACTGCAAAATCTGTATTTCCAGTAAAATGAGGAATAAAAGACACCTAAGCAGAAAGTAAAATACTCTCTACCCGTCAGGGTATTTTACCGGATTTTACCGGAATACAGCTGTGACCTAGACGGACTTATAGGCTGAAAAGAAATCATGCCATATTTAAGTAAGTCTTCTACAACTACTATCTTTTAAATGAGATACAGTAACATGCTAGTTAGCATATACTTTCATAAGAGTATAATACAGGAGTAGATTCCGAAATTCCGAAAGCTATAATCATAAATGTGTATGAGAGGAATTCGAAAGAAATTCAGTATATTTTATTCGAGTCTGTGGTTTAGACAGGATAAACTAAAACTTGCTGCCTTCGTTTACAAGATCTTTTTATGAGGACGGAACTAGAAAGCGTGTGAAATGTTATGAAATTAATTTCGAAGTTAAAAGTTAAGATCCTTTTAGTTTTATTGACTTTTGTTTCCCTTGCTATATCCTACAATTATTTAAATTTCAACAAAATCGGAAAGAAATTTTTAAATTCATATTATAACATTATATACTTATTTAAAGATTGTAGTCCTTGAGCGTGGGAAAAACTTCTAATAGAACACCTACATTGATATTTTCTAATAACACAGACGCATCGCTAAATCGGCCGAAAGCCGCAGCCTTGAGAGCCTCCTCAGATTATCCCTCCAGCTACCACCCGCATGAGGTCGACACATGTACTCCACAACACAACACAACAAATCCTCATAGCACTCCCCGTGGTAGATGCGATAGAAAATGGAAAGGAATGCAACATCCTTACGCAGCGTCAGTAAATCGAACCGTTTAGAAAGAACTCGGTCATCGACGAATCGAACCGCTTTGCGCTGGATGTGGTCAAGTGGAAGGAGCTGGTACAAGGGTGCCCCGGTCCAAAGATGAGAACAGTATTAGATGATGTGAGGCCGAACTGGCGTTTTGTACTATAAAAATCCACTTAATTAAACAAAATGAAAACTAATCAGCACTTTTTTACGCAATGACGAGTCAAATAAAACTCCCGGAATTAAAATATTCATTTGTTTACAAAATACATAAATTGCGACAAACGTCGACAGTCTTTTTAAAAACACAATTTAAAGTATAAAATGATTTAATGTTCTTTCGAAGTTTGTTAGTTACAGAATGAATTAATATTAATGTTAATTAATTAAGTCTAGCACAATTATCATATCGCCACAGGATAAGTGTGGGAGTTGTTCCTCTTACATTACTTAAAATTATCACTCGACTTTTCACGCAAATGCTGATGTGGCTATTTGGAATGTGGAGCCTGGGACGGATTGAGGCGATATAACTCCTCCCTCCACAAATTCAGGATATTATCCTGGGGATTATCTCGAATTTTACAGATTTTACATATTTAAATTAATTTACGTTTAAAAACCTAAAAATAAAAATACTTTCAGGACTCAGGATTCAGGACCTGTATATCCGCTACATAGGTCACTCAGTAAGTTTTGAGACGCTCGAAATTTAAAACTAGAACGCACCCGTGTTATATGTTTCTAAAAAGCAAATTTATTTAAAAATAGAACTCCATAAGCTAGTTCCTTGATATTGAAAAAAAAACAAAGTTCTATTAATTTTCCTGCAACGCTTCCCGCGCATTTCATTTGAAACGATAGAACTTAACCGTGAAAATTAGCGCGCTATGATATATTATGATTTTAAATTTGGTTTAACCAAACAATTAAGTATACAACGGTTACATTTAACATAAGGGGACTCAGCTCCATCACGCGCAATAACTTTTAGGTGGTTTGCTGAATTCACAAGGGGTAAAATTAATCTTAAAATTGACCAAAGAACCGGGGCCCCGCAAATAGCAGTAACGGCAGAAAATGTATGGACTACTGAAATGTTGGGGCGAGAAGATCCACGAATCACGTATACGGACATCAAAAATATTGTAGGCATTTGTTCGGGGAGAATTCATACCATCCTACATCAACATCTTGGAGTGAGGAAGCTTTGTTGTCGATGGATCCCACGTTTGCTCTCCGAAAGCAAAAAACAGACTCGTGTGGATTGGTGACAGCATCTAAGCGTGTTTCAGAAATCGTTACTGGTAATGAGACATGGATCTATCAATATGATCCGGAAAATAAAAGGAAATCATGGGTATGGGTCTACTTAGAAGGACAGTTAGCGACAAAACTGCAAAGACCTCAACGCACAAAACTGTAACCAGAAGACCGCAACGTCGGCAAAAAATGGTGGCTAGATTTTTTTTTCGCGGAACGGTCGTTTGTTGACCTCAATGCTGGGAAATTGTAGGTCAGTCAACTCTAAATGGTATACTACAGTTGCATTACCCAAAGATTTTCAAGTTGTGCGGGAGAGAAGACCAACGATCGGGCGTCGGGGAATCATACTGCATCACGATAACGCCTCTTCACACACCTCCCTTAGAACAAAAGCATTTATTGAGGAATCTGGTGTTGAAACTCTATGTCACCCAACCTACAGCCCTGACTTAGCTTCTTATGATTTCTTTTTGTTCCAAAGAGTCAAAGAAAAAATAAAAGGAAAGTTTTTTTCAAACGCCGAAGTAGCCGTAGCTGCCCACGAAGAAGCGATTTCTGACCTGTCAGATCAAGACTGGCAAAAGTGTTTTCAGAGTTGGTTTAGGCGAATGGAACTTTGTAATGAGCATGATGGAGAATATTTTGAAAAGATATAAAATAAATATTAATAGTATCTGAAATACTTTTTGTATATCTCAAAACTTATTGAGTGACCTAAGTATATTAATTCCATCGAGATTGATAATAATTGATTGATTGATAATTAACGGGTTGACTATTATCTTTGGTAAGTTTATTACTGGCTGATTTAAATAAGTTATTTCTTTACCTTGAGTCTAACATCTTTTCAGTTCGTATCCTTTGAATTTCACCTTGCAGTTATCATCCATAGTGTTTCTAGAGATTCTACTAGGAACCTATCTCTTAAGTATTAAGAGATAGGTTCCTAGTAGAATCTCTTGGCTTACTTCATTGTCGCAGAATTTATTCATGGCTGTTTCCGTATTTGAGTAAACTATCCAGCGATTTGGTTGTATAAGATATATCTTCACATTTTCAAGAGTAACAGGGATCAGGTGACAACTTGAGATATTTGTGTGAAACTGCATGATTT